CAAAAGGACAAATATTACATGATGCCACTGTTGTAGAATGGGACTGTCCTTGGGGTTGGGGAGAGACTGAGTAAGATGGGTTCAATAATGTATATTGCACTGAAACAGAGGAGGGAGAAAACTGTGTAAAAGAGAGATGTGACTAGGTATTTCTGTCATCACAGGAGTCTAGAGCGAGGGCTACACGGTGGAGGGGACCTGGGGGAGGGTTTGTAAAACAATGAAAGAATCTTTTCTTTTACTTTTCCATTAAAAAAAAAATCCCTCAACTGTTCATGTGTCCAGCATGGTGATGGTGTTAGGTACCGTCCAATTGATGATGACACATACCAACCCAGGGAACAACAGCCTGGAGCCTTGGCCTAGCCTGAGCCATTGTCAAACGGCAATCTCTGCCACGCTCAAATCCATTTTTTTTAAGTCACTGTGTCAATCCTTCTCATTGAGGATCTTCTCTCTTTGGCTGACCTTTCCCAGCATGATGGTTTTTCTTTGGGGACTGGCCCCTTCTGACAACAAGCCCAGAGTGTATGAGATGATGTTTCACCATCTTTGCCCCTAAGAAACATCCTGGCAGCCTGGCCCAGGCTGATGTAATTACTCTCGAGTTGGTCTCCTCTCCTTGACTAATACCTGCCCTCAAAGGGAGTGCAGTCTGTTCTCCTGATCAAGATTCACCACGTGGTGGTTAAGCAGGTGAGAGAGACAGGAGTTACTGTGCATAAACACAGTGGCCTCTTAGCTCTTTCTTTTCATCACACTTAAAGGATTGTAGGAGGGAGGTGCAGGCAGAGAGATACATCTTGTAGAGCTATAGATGATGGCCACCACTGTTTGGATAAAAACATGAGAATAACCACATTCTAAAGAGTCATATTATTCTTTTTGTTTTAATTTTTTTTAGTGACAATAAATTCATTTATTTGTTTAATCATGTTATACACACACTCCAGTTAGAAATAGATTTACTTACTGACTAGAATACATTAGTTGTAAACAGTCACGTTTTTAACCTTATATTATCCAGACAAAATATATTTTCTAAAGTTATGTAGGTTTTCATTTCTTCCTCATTGTTTTTGGTGTGATTCCATTTCTTATTTGTAATGCAATTGGGTTGATTTGTTTTTTGTTGGGTTTTGGGGTGGTTTTTTTTTCGATTTTAGTGAATGTTTACAGAGATTTTGGATTTCCATACATCATTGTTGCATTTTTCTCGCTGCACACACCCCTGCCCCCAGTTTGAAAAATAAAAGAAAAATTATTTCATTGGTATACAATCACACACACCTCCGCCCCAAGTACACTCTACTATGCAACCCTCATTCTGGACTCTTGTTTTTCATTTTTAAATAGTTACTTTGTTTTCTAATTGGAGAGGGAAAGACTGATTTGCTCACCTGTGTTTCATTGAAAAGATTTTTTTTTTCTCACCAAAATAGCAACAGTACTCATATTTCCTGAAATAATAATAGAATTCAAAGCACACGTGGTAATGAAGACGACCTTCGTGGGCGGAGCCGGGTGGTAAGTGGGTGTGACTGACAGGTCCATCATAAATTAGCAGGGAGTGCCCGATGGGGACTTTGCTTCAGCCCTGTCTTTCAGGACCCTTCTTTGTTAACTGTGTGCGCACTATTCCTTGTTTGTGACTTATTCTCTCCTTGTATTGCTGTGTATCACTGAGTCAGAACTGACCTTCAAGCAGGTTTTCAAAGGCAGTAAATCCCGTAGGAATAGATTGCCCATCCTACTGCAGGGCAGCTGGTGGATTTGAACCGCATGCTTTTGGGACTGCAGCATAGCTTCTTACCACTAGGCCATCTCAAACCTCTTTTTTTTAAAAAAAAGTTACTGTCTAGCAAACCTTGTGGGGATTTGGGGGTGGGGGGTGGGGTGTTTGTTTAATTTCTTTTTTTCCCTTCTTCATTTTTCTACTCATTTATTTACAAAACTAGAATACAAATTTGAACCAATTCTTTCCATTTCCCTTACCCCCCCCATCAAATTGTACAACCGAATGATTAATTCCCTTTTCCTCCTGCACAT